GTTTGGAGAGAGTAGGAGGCTGATCTTTCTCCAGCATGGAGCCTTGGTCACGTGCTCCACTGTGGGTCAGAGTATGCATACCAACAATCCAAATCAAAGTAGAACTTTGTTTCTTCACAGATCCTTCTCAGATGTGTAACTCCATGAGCAAAGATGGTTTAGGTCTTGACCATGACAGCAGCATAACAACGCACCTTCCCCACCACCCACCTAGCAGCCAAGATGAAAATAATCTATTCAGATGAATCAAGGAAATGAGGTGTATATACATATATGAGATTTCCATATAACAGGAACTGAACCCTCTGTTCAAGATTTTAATTGTAACATATTTTGTGAAAGTATTGAGAAAATGTGGTTCTTCTTTCTTTACATTCTCTCAGGGACTAAATGTATTTTTAAATTGTTCCTGATGACTTAGAGTCACTTTTATGGCCAGCTATGGTATCTGTGTGAGGCTGTGCTGCCTTTGATATGCTGAGCTCTGAGAAGTCAGAGAGCTTACTGTGCATGCTCATGACAGGTCAGAAGGCTATGTCATGTGAACAGTGCTTTGGTCCAGGAGCAGGTGGACTGCTTCTTGTCTATAAACTTGGATCCTCTTGGGTGAAGATGTGCTGGGCTTGTCCAGAAAGCAGGAGCTGGAAAGTAGGGAGAGTGGTCTTTGGAGTACCCCATAGTAGGAATTCAGGCAATGAGGAAGAAAACTTCCAAGAATGTGGGCACCCAAAAAGATTGCTAGAAGGGCTGAGATAAGAAGAAGATGTATGACCCTCCAAGGCCAGTTGCTAGGGTTAGACAGTAGATGAAGGAGTGAGGAGAAGTGTCAGGTTCTCTCTGGTATTTCTTTTATTTGTCACCTCCTTTCTCTCCTCATTTTTTCTAGGACTTCTGACAGATAAATTTTGAACCTTTTCCCAGTCATGGGGTCCAGTTTCTACCCACAATTTCTGGGTTCCTTGACTTTGTTGACACCCTATTCTCCTTCCCCATCCCTTATCCCTGCTTAGTGCCACTTGATTATATACAGGATAATTACTGCGAGATTTCACAGAACTGGATTGTTACTGTAAAACTTTTAAAGAAGAGGAAACTAAGTTTATAAACCAATAAGAAAATATCCAAAGTTGTTAGTGAGCTGATCTGTAAAATTTTCTTCATTCTATTAATCTAAAATTTTATTCAAAAAATTTTTGTTATTATTAATTTATGAAATCAGTTCATGAGTCCAGCCAGCAATGTTTAAATAGACTAGAGTAGAAAATATCAATACCCATTACATACGGTAAGAAAAAAATTGTTATATGAAAAGTTTGGTTCAATTAAATATTTGTAAAAATAAAAGCATATGAATGAAGGTATAAGGTTTCCTTACCTTGGGGGGCAAAGCATTTGAGAATTACTATATTCTAATAGTTGCTCCTTCTGGTGGTCAGTTTGGGACCATTTATGGGCCCCTCCTGTGACTGAAAAGGGAACTGCAGTGTTGGGTAAAACTCTCTCCTAATACAACTTATTGCTGCTACACAAGAGTGGAGTTGAGTCATTGAGCTCATGATGGAGCTCTGCCTCCCCCAGTGACATACTCACCTCTGATATTAGATGTGTCTACAGTCAATTTGAGACTGGACAGAGGTCTCACCCTCACCATGCATAGTAAATGAAATAGCCAACCTTTCTTTAAGGACAGGTGAGTCCCCCTGATCCTCTCCCATTTCTGTAATGTGGCTGTGGACTGCCAAGAGTGGCTTCTTCTGGCCTCGGGTGGGGCCATCTGCTCTTCATCCCTCTCTAACTTGGGCCATGTTACCTTTCATTGAAAGATAGTGGCTCTGAAATGGTCATTATCAAGTCTTACATGTCAGTTTTACTGGCCCAGAGGCATGCCCAGCTTAAACATTGTTTTGGATGTGTTTCCATGGTGTTTCCAAATGAGATTAGCATTTAATCAATGACTCAGTACAATATATGGTCCTCCCCACTGTAGGTGGGCATTTTCTGACCTGTTGAGGGCCTTAATAGGTAGAAAAAAAAATAAAGAGGAAGGAAGAAATCACCTCTTTACCCTGCCTCACTGCTTAGCGTGTTTTATGTTCTAGCCCCTCAGATGAGGATTTACATCATTGGCTCCATGGTTCTCACACCACCCACCTTGGACTGAACTACACCATTAGCACTCCTGGGTCTCGGCTTGCAGATCGCAGACTGTGGGACTTCTCGGCCTCCATAATTGTATGAATCAATTCCTCATAGTACAAGAAAGGAAGGAAGTCTTCAAAAAGTTCATGGAAAATGCATATTTATTATGTATGGATGTCCTGTTTTTTGCATTGAGACAAACTTCTACTTTAATTTTACTTTTCCACAAAATTCTTGAAGTCCCTCATAAATCTCTCAATAGATAGATGATAGATATCTCTAACTGGTTTTGTTTCTTTGGAGAACTCTAATACAGCCCATAGAAATCTTTCATTTGCACTGATGGCTGATGCAATTAAATTTGTTTTTTAAAAAAAGCCCCCAGGAAGAATTGGGACCAGCAGTTGGTGTAATGGCTGTGTTGCTGGACTCCCATGTGGTCGACCACGGTTCAAGTCCTGGACCCAGTGGCTTAAACTCACAACAGTCATGTGTGCATGCCCAAGATCCTGAGAGCAGAATGGAGAAGGGATTGTGATGTGGCCATCCCCACAGGGTTGATTTCTCACCTTCTGTCTCTTTGTCTCTCTGTGTCTTTCTGGCAAGCACAAGTACCCTGTAGTACCCTGTAGCGAAAACCTCCAAAAAAAAAAAAGCCCCCAAACATTCATAAATACTTGCCAAATCCTCAGCATGAGAAGAAGCTCTACCACCTGGTCCTTAGTTTTGCACGGTCTCTTCAACCAGCAGTTCTGCACATTGTTTATCCCGTGTCCTTCTCTGTCCTCACAGCAAGGCTAAAACTATACTTACTGAGAATCATAAAATACATTCTGAATCTGGGTATATATCCATGTATCCTAAGGCCCACTGTTTACCCACCTCAGGTCCAATGGATCACCCATATCCAAGATCCTGATGGCATTCAGGCTCTCAGGGTAAAGAATTTACATCTGCCATTCTAGCAACATACAGAGTCCTTCACTGGGTCAATGCAATCAACATTTGCAGTACGGTATGTGCTCCAAAATCCAATGTAAGTTTTCCTTTGACTGTTAGGTTGTGCATTTTCAGAACTTTACTCTTCAAGCTGCCCTGGTATTAGGACCTTTTGGGGCCAAGCCATTCAATTCTAAGATATGTATAAAGGATACATTTCCGTTTTCTATAAATCAAAACCCACTTTTAAAATAAAACCTCCTGTAGCTTTTGACATTTTGTGAATCTGTCCTAATAGAAGTAAATGGCTAGTGAAATGAAAGCCAGAAAATTTGGACCTATGAGGCCAAACCACATACTGACCCAGGCTACCAGGAAAAAATTCAGAAAACAAGTATTATTGTTACTTGCTGTAGATAGTAAGACCTGGTAGGCAGGGTTTTGCAGGCAGTACCTGTATAGCCCATGATACATCCTTTGTGCTTTATAGCTGAGAGCTGTCCTTATTTTATTTCCTTTTGTTATTCTCAACACTCCTGACCAGGTGCCCTGCAGGTGCTTTTTGTTAGAAGAGGAAATATGAGCATTAATGGTTGGGTGCAAAATTTCACCCATTTAAAGACTCACTGGCTCAATGAGTCTGTGCCTCCTGTCTTAGTCCTAGCTTGTCTTAGTACATTACAGCTGCTATAACAGAATTACCTTAGACTGGGTAAAAATTTACTTCTTACAGTTCTGACAGCTGAGAAGTCCAAGATCAAGATGCTGAATGATTCAGTATTTGGTGAAGGCTCTGCTTCAGAAATGGAGCATCTCATGTCTCCACATGACAAAAAGGCAAATTAAAAAAAAAAGAAAAAGATGAAATATGGATCCACACATGGTGAAAAGAAGGAGCAGCTCCCTTCTACCTGTTTTATAAGGGTGGAATCCCATTTGTGAGAGCTCTGCCTTCAAACCTCCAAAAGACCCCACCTCTTAATGCTATCACAATGGAAACTAAGTTTCATTTACAAATTTACAAGAGAGCACACTTCAAATCATAGTAGCCATTAGTTCAGTATTTAAGATTTGCAATGGGTATTACTCAGGAGGTGAAATGGGGACTGGATGGTGGTGCATTTGTGAGGTATAACATGGTGAGGCTAATTCACATGGGAGGGTTTGTATCTGGAGACCTCCCTGAATGTGCCTAGGGCACATGCTTGTGGCTAGGGCTCAAGGTGTTGGGACTCTATCGTGGATGTGACTTTCTCTCTTTCTCTTTCTCACTCTTTCTATCTCTTTCTCACTCTCATTAATAAATAGATGCATATATTTTTAATGTTTTAATAAAAAGAAGAAATGGGGGCTGGCAGCTGGTTCGATGGTTAAGGATGGACCTGGTGACTTGCTTTCTCACTTTCTCTCTTGCTCTCGCTCTCCACTCACACTCTCACTCTCTCTGTCCCCCTCTGGTCAAATTAAAATAAATAAATAAATAAATAAATAAATAAATAAAGTCAAATAAATGATTTAAAAAAAAAAAAGAAGAAGACGAAATGGTGCTGTGAATGGGGGCTTAGATATTTAAGCCCTCCTAGATCCATCCTCTGTGCCCAAAGTCCTTAGCAATTCTAATTTCCTGGTGGGCACTCAGCAAATTTTCTGTCAGAGCACAGGCTTGTATCATGGCAAAGATATTTTAGAACCTTCCCCTGGAGCCAAGTTTTCTCACAATCTTTTCACTAAGGCATTGCAGCAAGAATCTTATTTATTTCTACCCTTCCCACATACTCAGACTTCTTTAAAGGATGGTTTCTACATTCACAACTTCTAGTTCTTCACCTCTTGTGTTAGCTGGGGCATAGACTAAGCTGCTATGACAAAGATATCTCAAAATATACTGGCTTATATAATTTAGAACTTTTTTTTTTGTCCTTTGATGTTCCAGAGTGAGTGGTGCAAACCTGCAAAGCAGCTGTGGTCCATTTAGGAATGCAGGCTTCTTTTCTCCTGAGCTTCCATCAGGCCTAAGAGTGTTGTCCTCATCTGAGTGGTGAAGAATGGATGGTGCCAAGGATTTGGCCTGAACAATGGGAAAGAATGGAGTTGCTGGTAGCTGCAATGGAGAGAAGGCAGAGGCATGTAAATTTGCAATGTTCATGGTATACCTGAGTGGGAATATAAATAGGCAGTTGGATAAACAGTTGGGAATTCAGAACAGAGGTCCAGGATCTAGATACTACTTGATGAGTCATCAATCACAGACCTTGATGAGATCAATAAAGAAAAGAGAGAAAAGAATCAAGGACTCAACCTAAGTCACTCAAAAGGTGGAGGCTGAGAATGAAGAAGAATTGGCCATAGAATAAAAAAGGAGAGCTGGTGAAGTGTGGGAAAATCAAGAGTGTGGTGTTAAATCATTTGTCAAGAGCCAGCAGTTGGTGTAGTGGTTAAGGCACTGCACTCTGACATGATTGACCACAGTTTGAGTCCCAGACTCAGCAGCTTGAAATGCACACCAGGCACATGTGTGTGTATGCCCAAAATCCCAAGAGGAGAATGGAGGAGAAGGGATTCCACTTGGCCATTCCCCTGGGGGGTATGACCACTTTCTGTCTCTCTGTCTCTCTCTATCTCTCCAGTGAGCACACACAGCCTAAGCTCAAATATTGCTTATGAGCCATGTGAGGTGAGGACTGAGATATTGTCGGACTGTGCTTCCAGTGGCTGACACACCTGCAGAACGGACAGAGGTAAGGCTCCTCTTGTACCAATTCATCAGAGAGCTCCTCCACTAGACTATGCAAATACATGTTTGTATACCTTTGCAGCATTTCTCACCCTTTTTCTCTCTTTGATCAAGGATTCCTGGGCATATACAATGTGTCCTGTGTGCACAACAGATGCCTCTAGGTAGATAATCAAAACAGACCACAGAGCCACATGTAATACATCCAGCCCTGGAGACAGTGTGGTTTCCCTACGAAAGTCCTCCCTACTGTCCTGTTCACAATCAGTTCTCTTTGATAACTGGACACACCAGCTGCCTCCGAGACCATTCCTTGGCAAAAATGGCCACTCAGTAGGGGGAAATCCCAAAGATAAAAACATAAGATAAAAACATAAGAAAAGACACAAACCAATAAAGATCTCTGGCTAAGTGTTGAATAGGAAAATGTACAAAACCGGCAGCAACTAGGTCACAATAAACATTTTCTCGAGTTTCATGGGTCGTGGACAGACTACCAAAAGGATTTCATTACAGTGGGTGTGCACGCATTCACATGAAGTGGAACAATGGCATGAAATTGCTGCATGTGCCTATATTTGTATTAAGATAACCTCACTTATTTGAACCCATATGTCAGCATGCCATTTTGGGCCTATGACCAGGAGAGTTAGAAAGATGGTAGCAATAGGACATCAAATTTAAAAAAAAAATGGGGACCAGGCAGATGGCATGGTGGTTAAGGTACTAGACTCTCACATGGTTGACTGTGGTTCAAGTCCTGGACCTGGTGGCTT